TGTTTTCACAAAACCTTTTGGATTAATATGTTGATATGCTTGAATGGTGGTCGCTCGTCCACTTCGAGCACATAGCAARGAACAAGCTTTGAAAATTACACTAAAGAGAAAATCGCAGTAATGGCTAAAGTCTCCTATGATCATTCTGGAAGCTACCGCAAACAGTCAGGAAGCTCTTACAGGAGTTACAGCTCCARTAGAGAAGTGACCGAAACAACTGAATTCCACTCGGATACCAGCCGATACAARCAGTCGACRAAGTACCGAGACTTTGATGACATTGCTTTAAAAGATAATCATTCTAGAAGTAGCTCTCGTCGTGAATCGGAGAGCAGAGAAAACAGGGGTTAYAGAGGAAGAGAAAGGGATGAGTATCCTCCGTACAGGACGAGACAAAGCTTCACTGAAGAAAATGTCCAATTGATACAACCTGGTCGCGGAAAACCGCGTACTGCCTCGTCACTCGGCGAAACTGACAGCGTCCGCACTACGGCTTCTAGGATTCCAATGGGTTTAGAAATTTTGCAAAACGTTGATACATTTGTCATTCGGCAGAATGCCGACTCTAAAGGTAAGGTATTTCCCTGAAAGATGTTTGCTAGAAATTAGCTTGTGACTAAGTGTGCAAACATGATGTTGTAGCTACAAAACGACTCGAAAGTATTACTCTCGTCTCGGTGTTATTTTTCGGTCATTAAAATTATTTTACGGTAATCGAGTTTATAGCATTTCGAATCTCGAGCTATTTTTCTATATATCCGTTTCTTAATGCACATATTGCCAAACGATTAGACTCGGTCCAGTATATAACTGTAGTATTGTTGTTGTTAGGTGAGTTAGTSCTGCTAGCGTAGAATGGGCATACATTCAATAAAGAGTCATTATCATCTTTCATCGTTACGGACGAGACCGTCAATGATTGGCAAAATTGCCTTTTTATCAACAATTAAATATGCAAGTTAATCTTTGTTGTGGTAGATAGTTGGGTCGGTTCAGTTTCCGCAGCTCAATCGCATTCAAATATATAAATCATTGYTTCCGGTCCTTCTTGATGACGTGCTGTACCTATGCAACTATTTTCAAATAGCACTCGAATTCTATGTTAATTTTTCAGCTACTTGGTGGGATATCGCACGGTTCCAAGTGGATGACGGACGAGGGAAACGAATTTTCGAGGTAAAACAAGGTGAGTAATTAGCCGTTTACACAACTGAACCCTTAGACTAAAAAAAATATTGAATCTTTGTACTTGTGTTAGCTATTTCCAAACAGGGTGTTGGAAAGAACGGCGCATGGCATTTATCGAAAGGAGCTATACAAGGCCTCGAAATCATGGCTTTGCTCTACAATAAGTTTCTTTCAACCACTCTTCAACCATCGCCAATCTTTCCGACAGCACTTTTTTTAATAGCTATACTGATATGGATATGACATATATGGATATGATATTTGTTACGCAAGAACAACCAACGCGAGTACGCTGCAAGAATATTCATTTTTCCAGATTAATTAGCTGAAGTGTTTTCAATTCAACTCAMCTTTTTCTCTACTTTAGAAAAAGCTGACAATAATTGCGTCCAAGCGGTATGCGGTAAAATGCGTGAGTATTTCATGAAGGTGTACGTTGGGAATCAATGGGTCATGGAATTCGAGCATCCGTGGTCTTTTCTATCTCCAATATTTTGTCCTTGGGCGTCGCCCTCCTTGATTACTAGAATGCCAACCGGAGAGGTCTTAGGAGAAGTGCGAAATGCGTGAGTATTATAAAATCACAAGTTATACAAGTTCTGTCCTGGGTTTTATACATAATCGCTTCAGTTTTTCCTCTCGTTWATTTAAGGCAATTCCAATTGCTCATTGTCATTCCATTTCAGTTCCCGTGAAACATGTGCAACGTGTCTGCCACCGACGAAATATTTTGAGATCGTAAACTACGAAGGTTGCATTAACCATGCTGTAACAGGACCTACTTGCTACCCTTTTGAATGTTCAAGCGGGGATTCGGCTGTTTTTGAGGTAACAACGTTCAGATCCACACACCTATCCAATCGTTTCTGAATCATWTTTYCATGCTTTCAGCTGCTAAAAGTTGACAGACAGTCTGAGAAAACCCTGCGTATTGGCCAGATCAACCATGTATGGAGAGGTATTTGTGGAGGGATTTCAAACTGCTGTGTCACAGAAGATTTAGAAACTGTTTCTATTACTTGTAAGTTAGTCCTAGCAATATCATACAATATGCATAGTCTCTATATAGCACAGATTATTCATAATGTACCATAAAACAGGATTGCGCACAATTTTTCGTTTCGATTKCCTTTTTAAAATTCCTTGCCCTATATTTTTTTRAATGTCTGAATGATCTGTTTGTCTCGCAGTAGGATTGCTAYTGATTTGTTYTTCGTCTATTCATCTTCTAGTCCCAAAAGAATGTGAAATAGACGAAAAGGCACTCTTTCTTGCTCTKGGATTTCTTGTCGTAAGTATTGTGCATGCATGCCGATTCAATGCCTCGATGTYTTTGTGGCYACTTTTGTCATAATCACTATGTTATAACGTCGCACAGTGATCGCGTAAAATTTTTGTGTTGACTGTTATTTTTACTTTTATTTCAGCTCTTTACATTCTTTGATTTCAAGTAGAAAAAGCAAAGATGGGACAATTTTCTTACAATTTTTAATCAATATATTTTTATAACAATCGCGAAACTACGTAGTAAGCAATTATGTAACACATTTTTATATTGTGTTATGTCATTATTGCGTCGTTCATGACTGCATGTGTGCATATCTTGAATATCTTTTGCAATAATCAATAGATGTGTCTGACATCAAAAGGGAACAATAACATTTATCCTGTTATCCTATTGTAAATGAGGATTAGTTCTCATCAAAAATTAAAGTGACTCAAAGGTCGTCGCGCTGCACCTTTGAACATAATAATAGGCAATAAGCAGCAACGTCATTTTTTGTACAGCAAAGCATGATGGTAGTCATTGTATAGGGTTAGGGTTAGGGTTTATCCTATTGTAAATGAGGATTAGTTCTCATCAAAAATTAAAGTGACTCAAAGGTCGTCGCGCTGCACCTTTGAACATAATAATAGGCAATAAGCAGCAACGTCATTTTTTGTACAGCAAAGCATGATGGTAGTCATTGTATTTTTTAATTTCCGCTAAAGCACTCGGCCTTCTTTTTTCTTTTTCTTTTTCTTAGCCAAAATAGAAGTATATTTGATATTTCTACAAAGAAAGCATAAAAATGCTTCTAAGGAGATATTTTAGGTTCTGTTATAACTTTGAGGACACCAGAAGTATGGTTCTGTGTACTTCTGAGGACACAAAATGGTGTCGCAGCTCGATTCACATTGCATATTAGGAATCATCTACTGATGTTGGAGATTGCTCCATTGTATATTAACAATGTTCGTGTGTAAAAGGGGTGTTGACAATTGACGATCAAGTTGTGAAATTCAAGATGGCGGGCCATGGGGCAAAAAGGRAGTTTCCTGGCCAAAATATGAATTTCTAAGACTTCAATGAAACACCAAAAATGACCAGAATTAAAATTCAATTTTCAAGAATTGTTTCATGTACTAGATATGATACGAATAAGATAGCTGATGAGTACAGTTTTGTTCATTATAGCCTATAATGAACAAAACGGACATAGATGCCATCCTTCCCATAAGCCTCTGATCAAGCCGTTGAGAAAGAAGTAGAGCACATGTCATCTTTCTTCCCCTGAAATCTTCCCATGTTTAAGAGTCATATCAGCTCTTTCAATTTTAAGACAGATAACTCGACGGAAGAATTGATGAAATTTTAATGAGTCCAGCGCATTTGTGACATAGAATAAATGAAGGAAATGATGGACTGTTGTTAATTACATTGCAGCAGTTCTTGAATGGTCCATTACTACAACGATTCAATCATTTTTTAGAGACAATTGGTTTATGAATACGAAAACGGAGTATATCTGCAAAATGGCTAAAAAGCATAGTGGGCTATATAGACAAAGCGTCTGGAACAATCCTTTGACAAATTTAAATATATCATTGTTATCTATACTATACTCGCTAATCCAGCTTGGATTACAGCCAGATTTTCTTGTTCACAGCCAATATTAATTTTTCTTACTGTGACAGACGAGTGCGAGAAAAATGCGGCCAAGAATATCTGAAATTTTTTTGAATTGTCTCTATTTCTTTGGTGTTGGTATTCATAAAGTGGTGGCAAATGATCAGACTGGAGAAAAGAGCAGCACTGCAGAGATAAAAGCCTTCCAGATGCAATCTGCCATTGCCACAGCTACATTTTTAATTTTCTTTGCAGCATTATTTACTTGTATCTGGTGTTCTTGCTGTATGAATGACTTGTATAGTACTACTTCTCTCACCAAGAAAACAGAAAGTGAATACGTTTGATTATCGTCAACAACAGGCAAACGGTCTGGAAAATCCTCCTGGGACACCTACAATTTGAGGATAACAAGAAAAGAATGGAAAAAAGTGTATAAAGTAGACTGCAAAATCCAAGAGTAAAATGATACAATGTGACTATAATTAGTTTAAGATACAAGTGAAACAATACGGGTGGACTRCTGATTGGCACCATGTTTGCACTTCACAGGTTTTGTGTCTTCACTGAAAAATAATCGTCTTAACTTGAGCAAGGATGAATTTTATTTTGAAAAACGTTGTTGTGTTTTCAATCATAATATAAATGAGAAAAGCGCGTATTTTTCGCRACTGTGCATGCTTATAGCTTATTTWGAAGTAACAATAGTTCAAAGCCAACTCTAATTATAAAGTTTAAATTCATAACTGAAATTAATGTCATCTTATCTTGCAGCTGCCTTACGAATCATCCCCATTTAAGCCTATACCCGTTAGCCTGTCTCTCTGTATTGTTTCCGGTTGAGAAAATTACGATTGATTTCCCGCTTAGCTCTCCGTAAAACCAACTGATTCTGATCCCACCCAGCAGGCTATGAAAAAATTACTGGCCCTTCAAACTKCTCAAGTCATTTTGCTTCGATTTTGAKAATTTCGTGAAGCCTAGAAGTCTTAGTTTATTTCGATCGAAATGGTGGGTACTAAATGAATAAAAAGTCTTTCTCTGAAGTTGGATGTTCGATTTGCTTCAGAAAAAATCTTATTCGAAATCGAATGCATTTCTTTACTTTAAATGAAGTGATCCTGGAGGAGATAAATGCATTGGTAATCCCATTTTCGACTGCCAAATTTTGGAAAATCCCACCAGCAAGTGAATTACTGGCGACTGCATATAAAGACATCAGTTAGTCGGGACAGATTTCATAACGCTTCATGAACAGAGTAATATGAAATGAAAAACACAAATTGTTGAGGAAAGTGAATATATCATTACGAGGACTAGTAGACTTTGAAGGCTATCAGGGCTATTATTAAGACGCAAACAGTCTGGAATATTCATTAAAAAGCKGGCAAACGGCTAGAGCGTTTTCCTCGTCTAATTGTTTCTCAATGTTTCAGCTGGACACCAATCTTGATACATTCAGGGCAAGGGACGATGGAATAATATCATTTCCAGTTGTTGAAGTTGAAAGAATCAAAGAGAATAACAAGTGGGCCTGCCTTGATTGTAAAACAAAGCATGTTGGGAAACTTAGCACGCCCACATTTTTCTACCTACTAAAAAATAAATATTATGGTGTTATTGTTATATTGTACAATTATGGTAAAAAGTCTTACATTTTTACAAAGAAATCATAAAAAGCGAATTTAATACGGGAGGATCGAGAAATCATTTTAGCGAAAACAAAGTAAAAGTGCGAGTGCTCGGATATGTTGTACACAGGGTACCCGCCAACTGGTTGCTTTGGTAACTTGACAACACATTGGCGGCCATTTTGAATGTACGATAAAGTCAAGGAMAAATTAGAYCATTTYCCATTAAAATTAAGACAGATCTGCGTGGACAAAGATAATGTCTGAGGATTTAGCTAATGCTTATGCCATAAGACCGAACTTCAAGCAAAAGTAAGCCCAATTTAACATATTTTCTTCCGAATTTTGTTTGATAAGCTTAAGCTTTACCTTGTTTTGTTTTGAAATCTGTTCGAAATCTTCACGATTCAGAATGATTTTCTTATCTCCTGTCTTATATTTTCAATGCAGGTTTAGACCCGGGGCAGTTAAAAGTATAATACACGATGTTTTAAATGATGAAATTGGTAACAAAAAATATGATGTAGAAGAGTCAAAAACATGGCCAAAGATTGTCACAGATAACTTGCTCTTGAAGTTGAAAGGTAGGACGTTTTCAACACATTATAAATCATACAAATCCTTTATTTTTATTTCCATTCCTTTTTAAGGATAAATGTTATCATTGCTTAACACTGCGCACATGCCATTGGTAAACGCACATTTGATGCCCTCTTCTATTGTTTCAGAGCTGGACTTGGACAGATACAAGTTTGTAGTACAAGTTGTAATTGGTGAACAAAGAGGGGAGGGTGTTAAGTAAGTTTCTTTGAACCTGATGATACATTACAATTCTCTTTTGATGAGTATTAGATGATAGTTATACATTGTTATAGACCTTTATCTATATCTTAAATATAATGTCGTTGTCTTCTTACTGACAGATTTCTCAGTGTCAATGTCAATGCTTTTGAGCTTTGATACTGCAAAAATATAAAAAAATGAGTAATTAARGTATTCTGCATTCTACATAATATACTGTCAGATGTTAGTTTGAAATATTGTAACTGGATATTTGCAATTTCAGTGTTGGATGTCGATGTTTATGGGATTCAGATACTGACAACTTTGCTCAAGATGTACTAATGACTGTGAGTATTTTCTCTCTAATTACAATAATTTGATGCGATGGATATGAATTAGTAATACTTATATTTTTGCCGTTTTTTTTGTTTTTTTGTTTTGCAAAATATTTGACAAATCCATAGGTCATTCGTTTGTTTACCCATTGTCATCAATTGTTATCACTTTAGAAAAAAGGCTAAAAAAGGGGAAAACAGTTATGCATATTAAACTTCTACTGAGCATGTGCATTTGACACAATTGAAAGAATTTTGATCCCACACGGAAGTACGGCTAGTTTATGCTATACTGCATGTCTGCACATTGATTCAAACTGATTTAAAACCTAGCAAAGGTCTATGATGCGACATTAAAACTGAGACCTTTGCTAGTGTTTGGTTGTGATAAAGCGCTGATGACCTTGAACATCAGTTCTTTATATCTGATATAGAACTGATTATTAAAACATCAGTGGTTTATCAGGATATAATATAGGCCCATCATGTGACCCAATAGTTCGATGCTCATTGGACTAATAGCTCATGAATTATTAATGAGTTCTAGAACTTAACATGAATGACAGTTACTCATGTTAACACTGATTRCTAGTAGTTTTGGAGTCTTGAYGCTTGCCTGAGCATAGTTGGAAAGCTCCTAGCTGTCTGCATTAGTTATGAAATCTTTACAAATCCTTTTTAGCTTAAGGTGCCAATGTCATCAAAACACTTGAGGGTATCAGTAAATTAGAAGTGCTTCTCTTTGTTATCTTATCACAAACTACATTCAACTWTGAGTATGTTTGGTTGTTTCTGGAGGGAGAACAAATYCAAAATTATGAGGAACTTACTTTATTCTGCAAGGCTTTTTAGAGACAAATTATTTCACATGCTTTGCTTTTAGTATTTTACTAGTAGTGGGTGTTAAATTGTTGATTATGACTTAATGGAAAATGTGATAAGATATCAGATGACTACAATTTAATCCCATCACAATGAGAATATTAGCTGAAATCCTCTTTAAGCCTYCTACAATATTTGGGTTGAATGCTTATTTTCATAATTCAGCAGTACCAGGGTTTTGTAAGTTTAATGTATTATAGTTTTGTATATATGTAATTTCTTTAGTACAGGAAGTCCAAAAAATGTTCCCGTTACAAAACAATTCTAATATTTTTTTTTATCATATCTTCCTCTTATTGGATATGACCACACRTCATTTCATTGTGGTGGTGGTGGTCTTTTTTGTTTGTTTGTTTTTTYWCSTYRTATCTATAGCATAACGAGCTACAYAGCGCGTTGTTGCAAAGGTCGCGACTAACWGTCTTCAGTTTGATACAACAAAAGCTGTGTGTAATGGYCACCGTTTARACACCAATCAATTCTCAATAGTTACCTCAACACTCCGACCACTTCAAGAATAAGGCCTTTTCATTGAAAGATCAGCTTCACATAATTACATCGACCACAAAGTGTACACCTGCAATCAACAACATGCTRCTTTTTCCCGAATTGTATAACCCTCAGCCGAGGGCCTGTTTCGACCGTATATCCGATTAGTAGAACCATTTCTTTAATTCATGCTGTAACTTAATTTGTTAGGACGTGCTTTATTTGCAACAGACGAGCTGTTAAAATAACTTTATTCACAAAAAAACATTCGGTTTTATAAGGTCAACATATGCAGTTTACCGTTAAAACGTGCTATTATTCAAGGTCAATTAAATAAAATCTATTTATTTACTAGAGGTATATCACATTGCATCGGTATTTTCAGGATAAAAGAAGAAAGAAACATAAACAGTTAAAAAAATGAGAATTAAATGCAAAAACGCAGATGTACATAATAAGTGTTCATCTTGTTATGTAATTCTGAAAAACTACAACAATAGAAACGAATCTACTTTTATTAATCAGCAAAGATTTTGCATCAAGCGGATAAAAGAACTAAGAGCAAAACTTCACAAGCAATGTGTTTCTTTCACATAGACTTCTGTCATGGATAATATAATTTATTTCAATTCTCGTCTGAATTGCGTTAGCTTTTCCTCCGAACAGCGAACCTACTCAGTTCGTAAACGATCGAAGATTGTTCTTAAGAATTATTTATTCTCAAAACTCAGTATGACCTGTTGTTTTAGTGTAAATTRTGTTTTCGTTTTAGCCCAGAACTAGATATTGATGAATGGACCACCTGTAATTAACTTGCTTGTATGGGTTCTCAGTGGTATGATTGGTATTTTTATTCTGAATCCTTTGATCTGCGGTCAAGCAAAGGCTACCTACTCCTGGGAACTATACGGTTTTGAGCTGGAGTGAACCAGTGGCGGACCCAGGGAGGAGGGGGTCCCAAATAAAGAAGTGATAAAACTGGATATAAATTATAAGAAATATAGTAATACTTAGTGCATTTTCGTGTCGTTACTCATTATAGCCAGAATTAATAACTCTCTTATATCATAACAAGGTGGGCTTTCAGTTTGAAGTTGACCAGTCAAATAACAAGAGGCGTGGCTCAGAGATGCCACGTCTAAAGAGATTATTTAATTTTCAGCAACCAAAAGGTTTTTTGAATATGTAAAATAACACTTTGAACTGACAGGGTGTTTTCGGGGACCCAGCGATTAATGATTTGGTACCCGGGGATATTAGCTCTGTGTGTTTTCGACTAATAGAACATTTTGCAAAATGCCCGCCGTTGATTAGCCTGCGTAGGCTGGATGAACTCAGGCTATCGTTGATCAGCATAGCTTAGACTTCTAGCTATATATATATAAATAAAACAGATGTTAAAAGTTGCCAGTTGCGTGAATTGTTTTCTAGTATTCTACTTATATACGCGGACCCAGGGAGGAGGGGGTCCCAAATAAAGAAATGATAAAACTGGATATGAATTATAAGAAATATAGTAATACTAAAGTGCATATTCTTGTCGTTGCTCATTATAGCCAGAATTAATAACTCTCTTATATCATAACAAGGTGGGCTTTCAGTTTGAAGTTGACCAGTCAAATAACAAGAGGCGTGGACCAGAGATGCCACGTCTAAAGAGATTATTTAATTTTCAGCAACCAAAAGGTTTTTTGAATATGTAAAATAACACTTTGAACTGACATGGTGTTTTCGGGGACCCAGCGATTAATGATTTGGTACYCGGGGATATTAGCTCTGTGTGTTTTCGACTAATAGAAAATTTTACAAAATGGCCGCCGTTGATCGTTGATCAGCATAGCTAACTTCTAGCTATATATATAAATAAAACAGATGTTAAAGGTTGCCAGTTGCGTGAATTGTTTTCTAGTATTCTACTTATATACGTGTATATATATAAAAAATACACACTRCTGATCTTGTTGTCCGATGTTGGAATTGTCAGTTTTCACAAATGGAGCGTTCTCTGTCATATAGCTATGGAAAAGCCACGTCCTTTCTCTGCTGAATCAAACCTGACATTCTACACTCGTGATATTTCACGTGATATTTCTAATATCGAGAATGTCGTGGATAGCTTGTAATTGAAGTATATTCTTWAGCATTTCGGGGGTCATTTTGTCTTAGATGCCGAAAAAAATACGCGGTCATTTTGGCAAAGGTCTATTGA